TTTTTTTTAACCCTATGGAAGAAAATTTAAAACCTTCTGGAGGAATTTTCTCAACGAAAACTTCGAAATCTGGAAATTAGGAAAAAAATTCCACTCCTATGGGAGAATTTTCCGAAAAAAAGCCTTGCTACTTCAAAAACTAGGAGAATTTACCACTTCCACGAGGGATTTATTCTGAAAAAAAAATTTTAATTATTATTCCGCAATCTGGAAGTCTGCTGTTACAGGATGTGCGTTTCGGGGTAACATCCAAAGTATTACTGGAACTCCACAAAATGACGGCGGGCACTGAAGGTCAGAAAAAAAAGGCGTAAAAAACTCTGACCAGAAAGACATTCATGAAAAATTGCAGCACCTCAAGAGCTGAAAAAAGTGGCTTTTCGTCTAAAAACATCGCATCAATTAACAATTGGAAAAAATCTTGAAACCTATACATGCTATTCCAATGCTGCTCGTTCCCTCGCTTGCTTCATCGGTTTAGTGAGCTGGTTATTTCAGCGCTTGTTGCTGTATCGGCTGAGGTATGTCTTGACGTTTCAGTCGCCTTAGTCGATGCAATGTTCCGCGCACCACATTTCGCCATCGAGATCGTCCTTGCACTGGCTCTGCTTTCTCCAGCGGTCGTTGCGATGGTTGCTGGTGCGGTTGCTGCATCGGCTGCCCCAGCAAATGCTCTCCTTCCAGTTCCTCTTCATTTTTTCGCGAATAACTCGGCCTTTTCATATCAAAACAGCCCACTTGCAGCAATATTAATATGTCGATAAAAATCTAAAAATATCTAACAATTCATTTCAACCAATGCAACTGGTTTGTTAAGACAATGGAAAATTGAAGCCCAATTAAAAAATTAATTTAAAATAAAAATTTTCTCGCGCGTTAATAACGGCAGCCCACCAGTCATCTGACATGGCGTCTGACTATTTATATGACTAAAAAAAATTCACCTAAACAGTAATGCATAGTAATTGCGGTCTAGAAGTGGAAAAGATTGAAAAGGGACGATCGACATACATACACCAAGGACAATCGGAATGCTTATAGCTTTGCGAACCCGCTGGGCTAATAATTCCCTCAAGGAGAACCAAGAGTAACAAAACTGGTTGTAGGAATTTGAAAGCAGAACGCACAGTAGCAAATCGCCAACAGCAACCATTCATCAGTAATGCTGTCAAAGAACTTCTCTTTCAAAGAATGCTTACAAGCAAGACAATGGCAGCTTTGACTCTTCGATATATGTCAGTACCAATTTATCATCGAAACGAATGAACGAATCGAGAAAAAATTTACTGTCCCAGTGGTGGAAGTGAACTAACAGCCCAGGTTCAAGGCCGAGCACCACTTCTTATAAATTCAGGCCCACTATTTCAGGTAGCACTGATTAAAGAGAAAGAACTTTATTCTGTAGAAAAAATAAAAGAAACGTGCCTGCGCTATTCCACAAAACCAAAACTGATAAGGGGTTTTCTTCCAGACATTATAAGCTGTTTTGACGGAATCAGCAACAAGCCATAGTAGTACCATTGCTATGCTGAAAATATGAATTTTTTGCTTTTGGAATATCAAGACGGGAACGAACTCAAGTCAAAGACTGGGTAGTTTTAAGTGATTACTAAAAATGAGAAAGTGGGCAAAAACAACACTTCCGATATTGAGACAACCAAGCCCGTCCGGATAGCCGGTGCGATATCCCGTATTGGTGATGCTACTAATACGCTTTCATATTTCGAACGCATCTACGCCAGATCATTCGATCCTGGATTGCATACCTCCAAGTTAGTACCCGCTGTCTGTCCGATATGCGCCATCTCTTCAGAAGCCGCCAGAACGGCCATTTACTTTCTCGCGGGTACCAATCACTAATCTTTTGTCCACCGATTGTTGGATCAGCAACATTCCTTGCCCATTGGATTTCACTTTCCTGCTGATCGTACAGAAATCCTGCACAATGCTCATCTAACAGAGAAAACACTTCAAAAAGCCCTCGAAAAACAGGTCTACCTCTACCCCGGCATTTCGCCTATGGTTACAGAAGAAGAACAACCTCATGCCGGCAGTGCTGCGCCTTCTGCAGTTCTGACAAAACTGCGGTAAACCCAAGCACGCCTCGACGGCCAGTGAAATTCCACCAATAATCTCCACATAAATTGAGTACTATAAAAAAAAAAA